ATATATATATTTCAAAAGTATCAGCAGACAAATTTTGACCCCTTTGTAGTTGATGGTTTTTTCAATTTTTATTAAATCCTTTTCAAGAAAAAAAAAATTGTTTATGTAAATCATCAAATTAATTTGACCTAGTATGTGGTCAATATAAAATTTGGGTCTATGTAAAAATTAATAAAAAAAAAAAAAAAAACTACCAATAATTATCTTTTCTGAAATTTAATATATACATACTTTATATATATATATATATAAATATGTTAATATTAATTCAAAAAGTATTTGAAATTTAGGTTTATAGATGTATATATACCATTAGTATATTCTTGGATCTTTCCCTTCATTACAAGGAATGGTTAAAAGAATGAAGAAAGAAAGTCAATGATTCACTTCATAAAGGATAAAAAGACAAAATTAATAAGACGTGTTTGGTGATCAAGAAAATTAAAATCTTAAAACTAATGACCTTTAATTGGCTGGTTTGATTACAATATTAAATCCTAGAACAAGTCCTAACACATGCGCTAATTCACTATTGATTGATAATTTCAAAGTTAATTATAACATAATTAATATATACATATTATTTTAAAGCAAAAATTTATATTGAGTGATATTTACACACTCATAATATTAGATAAAAAAATAATAATTAATCTTAGTTTACTATCACATGATTAATTAGTTGATTATTGATAATGTCAAAAGTAATTATAATATAATTAGTGCATAATTTAGATTAAAAATATAATGTTAAACGGTTGATGACGATGAAGGTAGGTGTTAGTTAATTAATCTTGATTTTGAAGGGGTTTTTAATCTTGATGTAAAACAATACCACACTTGTCATATGAGTTACCTGGTTAATATTTTATCATATTAAAATTAGTTTAAATAGATTGACTTTATATCCAAGTCAATCCACTTGATCAAAAGGAAAAAGTCAGTGCTACTATTTTAGTTATAATTAATTATAATACAGTAGTTTATTGATTAAAGTCTTTATTTTATATTTCAAAGTCATAAATTCAAATCTTACTGAAAATGTATAATTCGCTACTTAATAAGTTGTTAGTAGTAAATTTATAATATTCAATACATTAAAACTAAAAAATTAGTTTACTGGTGTATTAGTAGGATTGCAGTAATCAAAATGAGTTAAATGTCAATAAATCTATTATATTTTTAGGTAAAATGAACATTTTGTAGTCGGTCATGTGACGCTCCCAGAAATTTAAAAAAAGAAATGCATATAAAAAATATAAGTGCGGAAGCGAAATAAAAAATTCTGATTAATATCCCTTACACAATAAGTTAAACGTACTAACAATAGATTAAGAAGCTAATCTAATATTTTTTTCTATAAAAAAATTATTTGTAGTTATAATTTAATCATCCAAATTTCTCCATTTTACCAAATGAAAGAAAATATAATTAGAGTTGGAAAAATTCAATATTAATAATAAAAACCTTTTTTTTTATCTTAATTATGTTGAACAATATGAATAAAAATATAATAACGTCAATGTTGAATTACATCAATTAGGACCTAGCCAATTATATATATATATATATGTATATATAGAGTTTTGGGTAGGAATTAAGCTGTATATATTTGTGTGCTTTCAAAGAAAGTTGTTTTATGATTGATGCATAATCATGTAATTATGAAAATGTATAAATTAATACTGAAAATATATCACTAAGGATCTAAAAATCAATTAGGAATAGTGTCTGCTTAGTTAATACGATAGGTATGGAAATTCACACCATCGTTAAGAAAAATAAAGCACTAACTATTCAGTTAAGAATCTTTTAAGTTAATTTTGATTTAATACCACATGACTAATTAGTTGATTATTGATAATTTCAAAGTTAATCATAATATAATTAATACATATTTTAGAACTAAAATATAACGTTAAAGGTTGATGATAACGAAGTTAAGTGTTAGTTAATCAATCTTGATGTTGAAGGTTTTTAATCTTGGTGTAAAGCAATACCATACTTATCATGTGAGTAATATGGTTAATATTTATCAAATTAAATTATTTAAATAGATTGATTTTATATCCGAGTCAACCCACTTGATAAAAAAAAAAAATTAATACTATTATTTGATTATAATTAATAATAATATATTAGTTTAGTGATTAAAATATTTATTCTTTATTTAAAAGTCACGAATTCAAATCTCATTAAAAATATAAAATTTATTATTTAATAATTATATTATAAGATAACAGTAATTGATTTATAATACTTAACTCAACTGAATTAAAAAATTAGCTCATTAATATTTGTTAGAATTGCAGTGATCAAATTAATTAAATTTTAGAGAGCCTTTTATATTTTTAAGTAAAATAAATATTCCATTGCGGTTAGAAATAAAAAAAATAAAAAAAGTGTCGGAGTTGATAAAAAGCAGACATAAGAAAGTTGGACAAATAAAAAATTGATGCTTTGACTCCGGAAATAATTCACTTCTTGCAGGCATCAAACTTGACCCCTAAAACTTTTGAAGCATTTGAATATTTCCCACTTTTTCAAATTACCAATATATATATATATATATTTCTTAATTTTATTGAAAAAACCCAGAACCCTAGATAAAATAAATTTGAATTAAAAAATGCGGAAGCGTATAATAACGTTAGGGTTTACATTCCTTACGCATAAATTTAAATGTCCAATAGAATTATAAAAATATCTCTTTCATAGCGGTTTATAAAAAAAACGAAATAACTATATGAAAATAGTAAATAAATGTTGTAGGGAGGTTAACCTCCACTAGCTCTTGATAGGATCCAAGGGACACCTACTCACAGTCCTTCTGCTGATTAGGATTTGGATCTTAATCTTCTTGATCTAAAATGATTAATAGGGGTGAGATATACTAAGCCAATAAGAATATCACACTACTCACTGATACAAAAACTGAATTTTGATAAAATAACTGATGAAACTCTTAATTTAAGTAAGTTCATTTATCATAAAAAAAACTACTTATTGCATACTTAACGTTATGAAATTTTCAAAATCGACCTATAAAGACAATAACTCAAGTAACATTATGATTTTTCATACAAGTGAGTAAGGACCTCTGGGGGTCCATAGGGATCTCTCTCTATGTGTGAACTAAATATCTAAACTTGTCAATTAATTGGTTGTCCCCATATTTCGTTCGGTATGAGCGCAAAAAATGTCATCCTTCAATATTCCGTCCGGTATGAGCGTGAACTGAGTCGTCTCCATCCTCTGTCCGGTATGAGCACTAAAAATACTATCCCTCGATACCCCGTTCGGTATGAGTTAACGTTCATGGTAGGGTTCTCTATATACCCGATCCATCCACAATCTCCTAGTATATCCAGTAAGACAACAATTTATTAATTCATATCATCAAGTAATTTTTTATTTGTACATTAATTTCACACTTCACAATTAACTGTAAATCATGCAAAACATGCGATGTATGTATAAAAAAAATATAAGTGAATCATTTAACTATTTCAATATATTATCATGTATTTAAAGCTGTACAAGCAAATAATTAGTTAAATAGGATAAATAGATAACTAACTAGTTTCGGCTCCATTAGTGATCTATAATTATTTCTAAACTTTTTTAAATTTCACAAAATATCATATTATTGATTATTAAACTTCAATTCCATAACAAAGAATATGATAATGGATTTTTACCTGAATCGGTGTCTAAAACACCGTACTTTCTACCGCGTCTCCTGGCAGTTCCTGAATTTTCTAAATTTTCCTGTGGAGATTAAACATGCTTCACGTACCTAAAAAAAATCTCAAAAATCCAAAATCGGTGTTAAAAATCCCTTTTGGCCAATTTCAGAATTTCGGGATGGCGGTGCCGCCATGCTCTGGCAACAGTGCCGTCGCCTGTGACGGCAATTTTTCTCAACCTAGCCGTTTTTAGCTGGTTTAGATTGATTTTGGCCGATTTTACACATATCCGTGAAAAAAATTACGTTAGGGAGTCTCGGTTGGCCAAAAAATCAGGAAACCAAAACCTACCGACGGTGGAGTTTTCGAGTGCGACGGCT